TCTCTGTCAAATAAATAAATAAAATCTTTAAAAAAAAAAAAAAAGATGTTTGTCATAATATTATTCACAAGAGTGAAAAGTAGAATCAAACAAAATATATAATAAAGGAAGAGTAACCAAATATTTTGTTACATCATATGACAGACTATTATACTACCACCACAAATTATGTTTTTAAAGAATATTAAATGTCATAGGAAAAGATGACACAAAATTATATAGACTAATTCCAATTTCATATCTATTTATACTTTCTCACATACACACACATATAGGATATGTCAACATAATACTGGTTATTTTTCAGTAGTGAATTACATGTAATTATTTTTCCTTCTTTATACTTTTCTTTGTATTTCCTTAAATTTTATAGTAGGTATATATTAACTTAATGAACTCCTTCATTCAACAAATATTAATTCAGCTCCAAGTATGCCTCAAGTCTTTTCTGAGTGCTAGGTTTATAACAGTAAATAAAAAAAGACAAATCTTTATTCTCATAGCCCTTATATTCTAGTGGGAAATTCAGACAATTAACAAGATAAGAAAAAATAAATATCACAAGTTAGGTAGTAGAAGAAAAAGGAGAAAAATTAAACAGAGAAAAGAACACTGAAACTGGGGTGTCTGGGTGGCTCAGTCATTAAGTGTCTGCCTTCGGCTCAGGTCATGATCCCAGGGTCCTGGGGTCGAGCCCCACATCGGGCTCTCTGCTCGGCAGGGAGCCTGCTTCTCCCCTCCCACTCCCCCTGCATGTGTTCCCTCTCTCGCTGTGTCTCTGTCAAATAAATAAATAAAATCTTAAAAAAAAAAAAAAAAGACAGAAACTAAGGAAGGGAGTAGGGGTTTATGATTTAGATAAGGCAGGCAGGGGAGGCTTCACCAAGAAGGTAACATATGTGCAAGAAAAAGATAAATGGAAAAATGAAAATTGAGAAACAGAAATATTTGGTTCATAGACAGGGAAGAAAAAGAGTTAGTATCAAGGATACAAGAGGTATAAATTCCTTTAAGAAGAGAAGACAGCTGTCTCTGTCCAAAGCAGGGGAGTAAGGAAGAAATGATGAGCACTGAGTTGGTCACCCAAGCAAACAGACTGAGAAGAAAATGAATGAAATCCCAGACCTGAGCCCAGAAGAGAGTAATCAGGGAAAGAAAGATAAGTCAGTAGAGAAAAGAGCCAGGGACAAGGGAGAAAATAAGGTTAAGAAAAAAAAGAGAGAGAAAAAGAAGGAAAAGAGGAAAAAACCCAAAAGCACATGGTACTTAATTTCTAAGAGAAAGAAAAAGAATCCTGAGCTGGGTCACTGGCAGCTAATACCACAATGAGCATGGGCCCAGGCCAGTACATCAAGCAAGAACAGTTACTGTGAGTCATCAGTCCTGCATTGAAAACAAGAGAACACTAAACTTTTTTATTTTTTTATTTTTTATTTTTTTTAGATTTTATTTATTTATCAGAGAGACAGAGGCAGGCAGAGGGAGAAGCAGGCCCCTTGCTGAGCAAGGAGCCCGACGTGGGACTCGATCCCAGGACCCTGGGATCATGACCTGAGCCGAAGGCAGACGCTTAACTGACTGAGCCACCCAGGCGTCCCGAGAACACTAAACTTCTTGAACCTGCACCACAAAGATAAGTCTTTGGACATCTACTCTTTATGTAGCAGTTCTTGTCCAAGTTATATGAGATGAAAGTAACTGGCAAACTGTCACTGAATTTGTCAAATGACTTCTCTGGGAGGAAGAAACTCTAAAAGATGGGCCCAGTTCAGTTCTTTTTTTTTTTTCTGAGCAAAATTATGTAAGTTCACAAAAGAGCTTATTCAGCACAAAATGCAACTAGCTAATGAACATGGTAAATCTTTTTTGATAACTCTTTAGTGATTCTCTCTCTAGGAGAAAATCCAACTGCAGCCTTCTTTCCCCATGCACAATAATTCCGTGGCTATGTCCATTAGAGGAGAGAGTTCATGGTCCACTCAGACAGCAAGGCACACTTACCACAATATGTATAAATAAGTTTGGAGTCAATAAAGCGGACTCTGAGATTGTGGAGCACAGCAGGCTCATGAAGATAGCTGAGGGCTGTGAGGTCATTCTCACCCACGAGGATGTCAGGGTTTCTCAAGTGAGGCAGTTCCTTGGTCTTTGGATCTAGACGATATTCCAAATCCTAAAAATGCATAAGATACAGCATCTGGATAAATCATGGCAATAAAATTAAAACAGGCTTATATATTTTGCTTATTTTCTATTCCTGATATGCTTCTCAGCTATTAAATGCATTCTTTTCCTGGCACCTTCCAAAGCCACAGAACTGGTGGAAATGGAAGTCTTCTTTTTCACTAGATATACTGACTTGTATTAAGAATTTTTGCTGGGGCACCCGGGTGGCTCAGGCGTTAAGCGTCTGCCTTCA